GGGGAGGGAATTGTCGTGGCGTATCGCCGAGTGGATTGCAACCCCTGCCGAGCATGTTGACGAGTTGGGCTGTGAATCAGGAAATTAGTTGTCTCTGCAAGAGTGATGAGGAAGCCAAACAACCAGTTGTGGCTAGTTTGTGAATGACAATCTGGACACCGTTGGGAATTTATACTCCACAGTGCGTTGAGACAAAGACTATGCTTTCTTGTACTAAGAAAGCCTAGCAAAAAGACTAAATCTTAGTAATATTGTTTCGTGAAAGCGAACGTTTTTTTTTTCAGATGTATGGCTCAATTCGTCTATGCAGATGGTCAAGTTAACTTAAGATGGTGTCAATGTTGTCTTCATGAAGCTTCTTTCATTGCTATTTCTTCACTATGTTTGAAGCGCAGATTCTGTCGCAGTGCTTGCGTGTCAGTCATGTGGATCGAAGCTCTGTACTTCCGCTGTTTTCCTTTCGTCGTTTGCGCTTCTCACCCTGGTTGTTTCAGAGGCTGCTCTCTAGCATTAAAGTTCTTTCCTTTATCTTTTCCTTCCTTGTTTTCCTGTCCTCAGCTATTTCTTCCCAGAAGCTGACTTCTACTCCAAACTTAGATAAAAGCTGTTTTTGCAGGTGACTTCGTAACTCAATTTTGGCCTTCCTCTTAGTCTCTTCCCCTGGGCAAGTTCTCCATAGAGAAGTAGCTTCGGAATCCGGTTGTCGTCCATTCTCTTGACATGGCCCAGCCATTTCAATCTTCCTAAACACAGGATGATTTCCATGCTCTGGAGGTTTACCGGGGCCAATACTTCAACATTTGTGACCTTGTCACGCCACGAAATGCCTAAGATCTTTCGGCAGCATCTGAATAATGTCGAGGTGCTTTTCTTGTCTGCTGTGCAAGGTCTGTGTTTCATATCTATAAAGAAGTGTGTCATTTTCAGATAAATAACTACAAAATTGTGTTACCAGTTTTTCAGTGTCTTTTTTTTTTAAGTTTAGGTAACAATATGCTACCACGTGTATTTTTAATCTTTCAAGATGGATGCTGAGAACAGAAAAGACCAAACCAATACAAGAAAAATTAAGTCTGTTTCGGCATGTTGAGTGGAAGGGTGGGGAAAGCTTAACGTTTTGGCTCTACCTCAAGTTGTAAGGCGAAAATCTTATACACTCCTAGCTTCCAAGAATCCCATTCCCGCCCCCGCCCCCATCCTTCCCTGGAAAAAAGAAAAGAAAATGACCACAAAAAAAACAGTCAAAAAGAACAATAAACAACAGTAGACAAAAAAGCAACTACAAATATACATTATAAAGCAAAACATACATTTTCATGTCCATACACAAACAAACACACACCCG